TTAAAGATGATACAAATCAATGTAAGGATTTATTGTGTTCATAGATTGGAAGAATTAACAATGTTCATACTAACCAAAGCAATCTACAGAGTCAGTGTATTCTCCATCAAAATACCAATGACATTTTTTATAGAACTAGAACATATAATCCAAAAATGTATATGGAACCAAAAAAGACCCTGAATAGCCAAAGCAATCTTGAGAAAGTAAGACAAAACTGGAGGTATCATACTAATTGATATCAAACTATACACTACAAGGCCATAGTAATCAAAACCATAGTACTTAGCATAAAAATAGATAAACAGAATAGAGAGCCCAGAAATAAACCCACTTCTATATGGACAATCAATCTGTTACAAAGGAGGCAAGAACATACAGTAGGGTAAGACAGTCTCTTCAGTAAATGGTGGTTGGAAACTGGAAGGTACTTGCTAAAGAAATGAAACTACACCACTTTCTTACACCACATATAGGAATAAATCCAAAATGCATCAAAAATTTAAATGTAAAACCTGGAACCATAAAACTAGAAGAAAACATAGGCACTAAACTCTTTGAATTGCTCTTGGCAATATTTTTTTGGATATGTCTCCTTATGCGAGCGAAACAACAGCAACAAGAAAACAAATGGGACTACATCAGACTAAAGAGTTTTTGCACAGTGAAGAAAACCATCAACAAAATGAAAAGACAACCTACTGAATGAAGAAGATATTCACCAATGATACACCCTCAGGGGTTAATATCCAAAATATATAAGAAACTCATACAGTTTAACACAAAAAATAATAAAAACACACAAAACAGTCTGGCTGGCGTTGCTCAGTGGTTGAGTGTCGTTGACCTATGAAACAGGAAGTCAGGGTTCGATTCCCGGTCAAAGCACAGGCCCGAGTTGCAGGCTCAATTCCCAGTGGGGGGCGTGCAGAAGGTGGCCAATCAATGATTCTCTCTCACTGTTGATGTTTCTATCTCCTTCTCCCTTCCTCTCTGAAATCAATAAAAATATATTTTAAAAAAACACAAACCAATCTGATTAAAAAATGGTCAGGGGCCTGGCTGGTGTGGCTCAGGGGTTGAGCATCAACCTATGAACTAGGAGGTCACCATTCAATTCCCAGTCAGGATACATGCCCAGGTTGCATGCTTGGTCCCCAGTGAGGGGTGTGCAAGAGGCAGCTGATCAATGTTCATTCTCATCATTGAGTTTTCTAGCTCTCTCTCTCTCTCCCTTTCTGAAGTCAGTAAAAAAAAAAATTTTAATATACAGTCAGGGGTATCTAAATAGACACTTTTTCAAAGAGGACATACAGATGACATATGAAAAGATGCTCCCATCACTAATTATTAGAGAAATGCAAATTAAAACCAGAATGAGAGATCACCTCACCCTGTCAGAATGGCTGTCTTTAACAAATTAGCAGACAAGTGGTGGCAAGGGTGTGGAGAAAAGGGAACCTTCATGCATTGTTGGTGGGAATGCAGACTGGTGCAGCCAGTGTGGAAAACAGTATGAGGCTACCTCAAAAAATTAAAAATAGGACTACCATATGACCCAGCAATTCCACTTCTGGGTATTTATCCAAAGAAATCTAAAACACTAATTTGAAAAGATATGTACCTTCCTATGTTCCCTGTAGCATTATTTATAATAGCTAAGTAGGGAAGCAACCTAACTGTCTCTTTGATAGACAAATGAATAAAGATATGATACATCTATACAGTGGAATAGTACTCAGCCATAAAAAAAGAATAAAATCTTGCCATTTGTAACAACATAGATAGACCTGGAACGTATTATGCTAAGTGAAATAATTCAGAGACAACTACCATAGGATTTCACTTATATGTGGAATCTAAAAAATAAAATAAACTAGCAATACAAATACATATAAAGAACAAATTAATGGTTGCCAGATGGGAGAGTGGTTGGGGGAATGGTGAAGGAATTAAGATATACAAATTTCCAGTTATAAACATGTTATGGGAATGTAAAATATAGCATAGGGAATGTAGTCAATATTGTAATAATCACATATTGTTTCAAGTGAGTACTAGACTTACTGAGCTGATCACTTCGTAAGTCATATAGCCATCTAACCACTATGTTGTACACTTGAAACTAATGTAATAGTGTATATCAATAGTAATTGGAAAATAAACATTTTTAAAAGAAAGGACTGAGGTTTTCTCATCAGAAATAAGGAATCCAAGTAAAGTTGGGTTTTTAAGGAAACTGATTAGTTCTATTTAATGACTTCGTCCAAGAACCCTTGGTACCTGAGAGAAGGATGAAGGAAACAGTGGAAGGTGCTTTCTGCGGGGTAAGAGACTGGCTATGTAGGTATGATGAGGGGCAGAAACGCTACATGATCTAAGTGTCTCCTTAGGCATAGTGGTAAGTACAGGCTTAACAAAATGAGAGGTGAGGCCAGGAGAAAAGCAAAGATAAACAGATTTTTTTAAAAGTTGGAGGGTAGGGAGTTAAGGGATTTAAGATTATAAAGAAAATGAAGAATAAGTTATTTTGAAAAGGAAGAGTATGTAAGTAGAAAGTTGGGGAATTTCAGAATTTAAGATTGTAGAGGTAGAATTCTGAGGGTTGAGTCTAGAAAACTTAATCTTTCAAAACATAGATGGGAGCATATCTCTTGTGGCTTGAAAACCTCGATTTCTGGGTGAAGTCTTTACTACGTAAAGAACAGGCAAGGCTCATCACAAACTGGACCAACCTACTTTTCCAGCCGAATGTCCTCCTCTCTTGTGAACCCGACATTCTCACCACACTCTGCAGACTCCTAAAAGCCTTTACCTGCTTTGCCTTTGCACATGCTGTTCCCCTTGCATGAAATGTTCTTCCTCCTCTTTGCCTTGCAAACTCCCTCGCATCTTCAAGCCTAACTCAGGTGGCACTTCCTCTGCTGGGTCTTCCCAGGCTCCTGCAAAAACACTGAGCATGTCTTCATCTTTGCTCCCACAGTTCTCTCTAGACATCCTGTGGGATTTTACCACAAGTATATTGATTTATATGTCTCTCTATTCAGTAGATTACCAACTCCTTGACATCAGAACCTATCTCATTCTCTTCTTCACCTGTAGTGCAAGTACAAGTAGTAGGTGTGTAGTATCTGCTTTTGTTGTCTTTGCTGTGGAATTTTAAGGGAATGAGTTAATGTGGTACTTCTCAAACATTAACCAAATCACCTGGAGATTTTGTTAAAACTCAGATTCTGGCCCTGAGCAGTGTGGTTTAGTTGGTTGAGCATTGTCCCATGCACCCAGAGGTCACAGGTTTGATTCCCCATTAGGACACATGCCTGGGTTTCGGGTTTGATCCCCAGAATGGGGTGTGCAGGAGTTAGCCAATCAATGGTTCTCTCTCTCTCCTCTCCCCCTAAAAGTCAATTAAAACATCTAACAAAAAAAAGACACCAAAAAACTCTGATTAGTCTGAGATCTTGCCTCTCTAACAAGCTCCCCGGTGATGCCAGTGCTGCTGAGTTTGTGGCAGTCATTCAGGGAGCCTTTGCCCAAGTAAACAGCGGAAGTGTAGTAAAGATAAAGCTTAATAGGAATGTGGAAGTGGAGCACTTATGGAGACAGAGATTTGAAAAACCCTCACTGTGAACACTAGAGTCCTTAAAATGATAGAAAACCACATGGGAAGAGATGCCTATCGTGGAATAAAGCAGGAGACCAGAGGGGGACGGTAGCTGAAAGGGTGGGATGATATAGTTCTGTGACTTCAGCCTTAGCAAAGGAGGTGTCTGGTGCTGGCAGCTGCTGTGTGGGACTGCAGCGAAGGATGCTCTCCAGGGGGAGGGCTGGGGAAGAGGAGTGGTGGTGGGGTCTGGGGGTTCACTGGAAGGGTTAGGGACCTCCCATGTTTACTCCAAATAGAATGGCACTTCCCCCAATGTGGACAGGAGTGTGAGGGGAGGGGAAGCCCTTGAAGAAATGGGAGGTACCAGAATTTGACAAAAGATCATTTCCTGATCTTAAGTTTCCAGGTTCAAAGTATGAAAGTTCTTTTTCTTTTTTAAAAAACTCATAAATGACGGAAAAAGTAGCACTAACAAGCATTCTGCTCTCACATATAGCCTCACAGGTCTGATGATGGGTGCAGTCAACCCCATCTCTTTTGCACACTGTTGTGCAGAGGGTACAATAAGTACCGATGTACTGTTTAACAATAGAGGAAAGGCAAAAATAAAGAACTGTTACATCTCCCACTAATCCCCTTCCCCCCAAAGAACTAATCAATATTTACCGCCTGATGTGTATTCCTCTAGGTTTTATCCATGCAAATTTATGTGCATAGACAGGAATTTTTCAAATTCCATCATGGTGCTTTTGCAGGCACATTATTCTGCAGACTGTTTTTCTCACTTAGGATAGGTCATAAACATCCCTCCGGGTCAATGGATAGAGCTCTAATTTGTTTTTTTCTTAGTCATTTTAAAATAGCTGTGTATAAATATAGATGTCCCATAATTTGTTCTGCCATTCTTCCATTGATGGAAAATTGGGTAATTTCCAATTTTGGCTACTACAAACAGTCTGACACACATGAAAAACCCTATTGTGACAGTGCCTCAGTAACAGAACTCTGATTTCAGCCAGCCACGCATATCACAGTAGCTTTCATATCAAGGACATTTCTGAATGGAGCTTAGCAGTGGCTAGGCTTGTGCTATCCAATGTAGTAGCCATTGGTCATATGTAGCTATTTAAATTCGCTAGAATTAAATCACATTAAACATTTACTTCCTGTCACATCAGCCTCATTTCACATGTTCAGCAGCCACGTGAGAGTAGTGGCCACCATAGTAGACAGCACAGCACAGACCATCCCACCCTCAGAAAATTCCACTGCACAGCCTGGACTAGACACTCTAAAGCTACACCCTAAAGAAGGAAGTGTTTCTCGTGGGCTGGTGTTATAAGAGAGCAAATTTTAAAAGTAAAAACTGTGTTTTAATTGGTTGCCTCTGCAGTTACTTCAATGAGAACCAATATCCAGATGAAGCAAAGAGAGAAGAAATTGCAAACGCTTGCAATGCAGTTATACAGAAACCAGGTAAGGCAACGAGCTGTGCCCTGCGGTGCAGGTCTTGGCTTCAGGTCCTCGCTTAGGACACACAGCCCCCGACTCATCTCACTCCGTGCTCTCCTCTGCCATTCTCCTGTGGAGAGTCACACCCTGTCCTGGTCAAACCAGACTTCGTGGGGACGTGAATGTGCTACTCCAATCAGACATTCATATGGGAATGTTTCCAGGGAGTGTCCCTGATTAAGATGCAAGACCTTGAAATTACTTTTTTAAAGGCTGTAGATTTCTTTTTCCAAAAAATAGCATAAATGTATCAATTCCAAAATAGTTTAAATATTTAATCAGGGTTTGTTAATAAAAATATTGGCATGGATTTGTTTAACAATTGTAAATTGTATAATTTACAACTGAAGAGAGAACTGTGTTTGGAGTTGGCTTTGGCAGGACTTCTGCTCAGCCAGGAGGGACTGGGAGATTTTATTCTGAGGTCCTGCTCTCATGCAAGTCAGCAGAGCCACTTAAACACACTCGTCCTTTCTTCCAGGTGCTAAGATAGTCCACATTTTACAGTTTTTGTTACCAGAAACCATTCAGTTATGACAATCCAGTTGATCTCCATTTGGCCCATTAATGTGATTGGCTTAAAGGCTATAAATTAAAGTATAAATGCTTAATAATAATAAAGTAGTAATTTATTCTCCCTTAGCTGGAAGCCTGACTGCTTAAAAGTCCAAAGCTTACAAACTCAGCTCCAACATCATGTAAAAGTCCTGTCCCTAAAGCTGTGGGAACTCCGACCCTTCCTGGAAAGCACATTACCCCTAGCTCATCAAGCCCTAACCTGTTTTCTGGTGTCTCCACCCACGTGGATTAAAAGCTGAGACAGGAAAGGACAGGGTGGGAGGGGAAGGTGCAGGTGGGTCCTTGTTGGCAAGCATGGTGCTGTCCCTAAGAAAGCACATTTGACAGCAAAGAAGATAATAAATCTAAAATGTACCTGCTCATGCTGCGTGGCAGCATAGTTACAGTAACAGATGACTAAGTAACCTTTAGTCTCCAAGAAAACATGAGACAGCAGGTAACTAGTTAGTGTAAGATCTGAAAGACGTACGTAAACCAGCTATCTGGAAACCTGCTAAGGAACAGCACAGTCATCTAGAACAGCGGTTCTCAACATGTGGGTCGCGACCCCTTGGGGGTTTAACGACCCTTTCACAGGGGTCGCCTAAGACCATCGGAAAACACATATATAATTACATACTGTTTTTGTGATTAATCACTATGCTTTAATTATGTTCAATTTGTAACAATGAAAATACATCCTGTATATCAGGTATTTACATTACGATTCATAACAGTAGCAAAATTACAGGTATGAAGTAGCAACAAAAATAATTTTATGGTTGGGGGTCACCACAACATGAGGAACTGTATTAAAGGGTCGCAGCATTAGGAAAGTTGAGAACCACTGATCTAGAATGATGCTAATTAAACAAAGCCTCTGTGTGCTCTCCTGTGAACATCAGCCCTAGCAGACGGACCTGTGAGATCCTTTAGGATTGTATTAATGCTGGAATTCTTTAAGATTGCATGGCTTTCTGAATTCAGGCATTTTATGTTCTTAGTTGCTATTTGTGTCTTTATTCAATAATAATTTGAGTATGAACACTGTACTAGGTGCTGCAAAAAACAAAAAACAAAAAAACCCTGTATCTGTTATTTCAACAATAAATACAATCAAAAGAACTTTTAAAAAAGAAAGGTATTCTTCCTTAAAACTAGTCTCAGATATAGGTTATCTGAATTTTATTACATGCATTCACAGGCAAAAAGCTGTCAGACCTGGAGCGAGTTACCTCCCTGAAAGTGTATAATTGGTTTGCCAACAGGCGGAAGGAGATCAAGAGGAGAGCCAATATCGGTAATGTATCAGGGAGGCTGCCTCTCCTCCCGGGCGGCTAACACTGCCTATTGTAAGTGGGACTTCAGTTTAGAACTGCAGGTCTAAAGTACCCCACATTTTAAACCTAATAAGAATTGCCTTATGTTTTTCTTCATTGCATTTTTAATAACCCAGTTAGTATTATTTAAAGTATTTGTGTTATAATAATAATGCCCTTATTATTTCTAAAACTCATTATTCTTAATGTTCTAGAGTAGACTGTAGAAGGAGACATGGTCTCTGAGCAGTTACTCCTGTGGTGCATGTTAAAGATACGTGTAAGGTCTGGAGAGAGGGAATGTGATACCCCGGCTTCTTTGTTATTACTGGGTTATGACCTCAGTATTAAGGAACATCTGATTAATATTAGAGTTCAAATGAAAGAATCTTAGACAGGGAACATAGCAAAAGGCAGAGATTTAAAAAAGAAGGGAGCATTTAAGAAATTGATGAGCTTATGGCAGGGAAGGGGGTGGTTTTGAGTTTCTAAAACTGTATTTCATTTTAAACTTACTCCCTCTTCATCATTACAAATCTCAAACACTTTAACGAACCCCAAGATAGGAGGTCCGTGTTGTTAGTTGGTAAGTATCAGTTAAGCACCTAACAGTCAACCACACAAACGCAGCCCACACAGCAGCAGGGTCCCAGAATGCACACGTGTCCTTCCCCTGACCTCCGTGCCCTGAACTCCATCTGTCTGCAATTTAAAAGAAACAGAACATAGGGAATCTAGGTTCTTGTTTAATGACTTTCTAATTCCTCAACACAGAAATTAGTTTAGCATTTAGGCCATTATGATGCTGTAACAGATAATTTAGGGATCTATTTGCTTTTTTCGAAGAAGCAGCAATCCTGGAGAGTCATGGGATAGATGTACAGAGTCCAGGGGGCCATTCCAACAGTGACGATGTTGACGGCAATGACTACTCAGAGCAGGTAAGTGGCTGAGCAGAGGATCAGGGTTACAGAGCGGGTGGGAGAGTGACAGCTCAGTTCTGTGGTGCGTTTGGTTTGGGTGGGGAAGAGGAGACGGTCTGATGTCCCTCCACACGGTACTCGTGTGTCTAGTTGGATTTTTGTGTAATTAGAAAGGAATGTGGTAAGATTCAGTTGTCCTATTGAATTTGTGAGAAATCGCTATTCACCCACATGGATTTATTGTCATACAACAGGATACTTGGCAAGTACGCAATGGGGAGGAGGAGGAGGGAAGAAGTTCAGAGGGAGTCAGAGAAGCAGAGAAGGTAGAAGAAGAGAGGAGGATCTGATCCAAACAAGCAAGTTACACCATTCACCACACACACACTCACTGTTTGAGAAACACTAGGGGCTGCTGGATAGCTGTACCCACGCCTAAGCACCACCATGGTGATGGCGCACAGTGGAAGGCCCCACCCCCGCGCCCATCGCAGTGGGAACCGTGTGCTGAGATGAGTGGTTCTTCCAGAGTCTCCGGCACATTGACACACACACCCTCTCATAAATGCATGTCCTGAACCTCACCCAACTATTCTTCGTTGCCTGGGGGCAGAAATATATTTAACTGTAGCCACTGGATGGAAAAATTCAGTAACTAAGGATGTGGGAAGTTCGCCACCCCCCATATCTGTTGACAGATTTCATTTACATTTTTATAGAATTTGAAATTCATTTCCATTTGGAATGTGGTCTCTTCTCCTGGACCACAGGAAGGAAACTTTCCTATGGCGTATGCCCCTCCTTTGCTCCTCAGCCAGCTCTTAAATCCTGCCCTCTGTGCTCCTTCTGCCTCCAGTCACAGCCTGTTCACAGATACTGCGTGATGATGCCTGCCTTTCCATGCCCAACCCTTTCACCACCTAAGACCAATCCATGAGAAAGAGAATGAAACCGCCCGTACTTTCCCCAGGGACCTGTTCCTCTCTGGGCTCCACATCGTAGCTCCACATTTCCCCTAGAGAGTGTTTGGAAGTCTTCCTCATTGGAAACATTCCTGGTAGTTTAGTCTACGGTGTAGAAGGGTCATTTCCACCTTTTTTCCAGATGCCCTAAGGGCAGCATATCCCACCCTTTTGTCCCCTGAAGGGACGGATCTTCCCCAAAGTCCTTTTTTTAAAAATATATTTTATTGATTTTTTACAGAGGAAGGGAGAGAGATAGAAAGTTAGAAACATTGACCAGCAGCCTCCTGCAAAGTTCCCCAAAGTTCTTTGATGCAGATTTCCCCTGAAGGTGGGAAACCTACCCCTTATTTGTAACCTGTGTTCAATGCCACAAATGCAAGGCCAGTTTCCTCCCCAGCTCTACTGTTCACACCTCAGTGTGGGAAGGGAGCTTCGCACTCCAGCTAAGGTGGCCACGCTTCCCGCACAGCAGGAGGGCGCTGCACACGCTCCCAGAGCTGTCTCACAGCGACACTTCCGTGCTGTTGTCATCGAGAAGTGGTTATTTTTTTTTACAAAAGTGCAATGTTATCCATAAAATGTTGGTGTCTATCTTCCTGTCTTGTTCTCTCAGTTCAGTGGAGAGATACCATGAATTCTAATAATCCATTTGTAAGAGCACCATCCAGAATTTAATAGCTCACTATCATGGCCTTCAGTGACCAGTGCTCTGTTTTTTGCAAAACTAGAATGAGGCAGATTTGATTATCATCACCAGCAATCTTCCTGAAAGAAAGAATACAGTGCACAGCAAGAAAAATCTTGTTTGTTGAGTCCTAAAACTGTCACCCCGAAATCGCTGGACTATCCATTCAGTGTCTACTTAAATGCATTTCGCCCCACTCGGTCTTGAGCCCCTCCCCTTCTCTCCTCCGCCTCCAGCCACTCTGCCTCCCTTGCCCAGCATGCCTTTCTGTGAGCTGAGATTGTCCCAGCCCTCTAACGTGTGTTTCTTATCCCTGCACGTCTAGGATGACAGCACTAGCCATAGTGACCACCAGGACCCCATCTCACTAGCTGTGGAAATGGCAGCCGTCAACCACACGATCTTGGCATTGGCCCGACAAGGAGCCAACGAAATCAAGACAGAGGCCCTGGATGACGACTGACTGGGGAGGGCGACCGTGAGAGTAACTTAGTTTAGACGTAGCACCTTAGCAGACTTTCCTCGGTCCTTAACACGTGTTCTCACAGTATAACTTGCAGTTTCTTGTATGTCAGTTAGCCGTTAGGGTCTTCTTGTTCTGTGAAGATGGCATGGTGCCCTCAGCCTTTGCATATACTCTCTCAGTATTAATTCCCAGTAAATAATAAGCAACCAACCAACCACACTTTCCTCTCCCGGCCCCAAGGCTAGAAATTTCGCTGCTCCGTCTTAGCATTCCAAGAAAGTGCTTCCAGGTATTTAGATAGCCCTCCGGGCCTCAGACACTAGGCTACATGCAAACCGCGGGTGCCGTAGATCCCTTTCCCACCGTCTGTCCCCCTTCCCTCCTCGGCTGACAGGATGCAGGCTGAGGCAGTGTGGCCCGGGACTGACGGCCCAGGTGGGGAGTGTCCACAGTGAAAGGAGCACTAGAGCCCCACCTCGGGGTGGGGGTCCCTGATTTCTTCAACAAGCCGTGCCTCACAACAGTCACCCTGGGGCTGGTGACGCCTGTCCGGGCTGTGCTGGGCCTGCAGCGGGAGAGCCCCAGCTCAGATTGAGGTGATGGTAACATGCCTGACAGACATCCAGTCCTCTCACAGCTGTGTGACTCAGTAGATAAAATACTGCCTTCTGTCTTTGGGACCATGATTAAAACAAACAAAAAAAGACAAAAATAGAAGTCACTTAAAAATACCCCCAGCTTGAGAGGCCCTGGGAAGCGACATGAGCTGAATGTGTGTGGAGGCCACGTCCAGCTCAAACCACTGTCTGTCAGGCGTGGCACGGCCTCGCCTGTCTGGGAAAGTGCCGGAGTCGTCAGGAGCTGCTTTGCCTCCTGTGTCCCCTTCCCTGCCGCCAAAAAAGTCTTTCAAGGACGAAGCTAAGGTCAAACATGAGTGAACGAACTTTCAGGCTTTGTGTCCAGCACCTGAAGCCCCCTCGATGTGAGGGGTTTAGAGGACTTTACGGTGGGTGTTGCTGACTGACTTTCACAGATGCTAACTTCCCGACACAGGAGCAGGAAAAACAGGACGTTTGCCGCTTAGGCGGTGGGTCTGCGTGACGTGACGGGTGTGACTGCTTTGGTGTTCTCTTTACTCTGTCCTTGGAGCCGTGTGAAAAGCTGTATTGCTACAGGCAATTTATTTAATAATTGGAAGCCATATTGATAATGGATGTGGTAATATTTGTAAAGTTTAATCTTCTTTAAGCAGCAGTAACCTAATGGAATTTTTTTCCTTGATCACATATGTAGCACTTTTGTTACTTCTTAAAGATATTTATATTTGATAAATCTTTTTTTCATTTTGAGAACTCAAAATACCAAACAGTGAACTTGCGTTATAAAGTCACCCTGTGATCACCTTGTCATCTAGTAGCAAAAATGATGAACTATTCATGCATCGAAGAAAATTACATCTGCTGGCCCTGTATGAAAATGATCTCTCAGCATCCCGATTAAATGACACGCTGTCACTGCGGTAAGGAAACGGCCCTCCCCTCAGGTGTCAGCAGAGGGCATGTCTGAGAGGGGCAGCGCCGGCTGCTCTCGCCAGGTCCACCTCTCCTTCCTGCGGACAATGGGGCCTGTGTAAGGGGACTGTGGGCCCTTTTGTCCATTACCTGAAAACGACTTCTAAGATAAAAGAAGGTGCCATTTCCTTACCTCCCCACCCCCCCAATGTATTCAACTTAAAACCATTTGTAGAGTGAGACTTACTGACCTTCCTTTTTCTCTTTCTCGTTAGTGAGATACTGCATGTCCGCCAGTCTTTCGCTGGTCTAACTCCACTGTAGGCACGTGCTGACGCCACCAGCTCTTGCCTGTGAGCCCCGCTTACGTCAGTGTGAGCCAGCCTCTGTGCGGGCGTCCAGTGCCACTGTGTGGGTCTGTGACTTAAGGAGCTGTCAACAGGGCCTGGCCTGCTCTTGTCCGTGGATTTCAGGGGGAAATGTATATACTTTTTCACTTCCAAGAATTGAAGTAGAATGGAGTAGCCTTTTCTGTTTTACTGTGTTACTTGAACCAACAGATTGAAGAGTAGCATTTGTTATTCTCAGGAATGATCCCCACTCGTTTTCTTTCTTGCTGTGTTTGACTTTTCGTTTGGATTAGGAGATTGTGTTATCTTTCTTTCCTTTTGTATGACTTAGAAGAACTATAACTTGTATCTTTCCATTTCTGTGGAATTTTGTTGGCTTATTCTAGGCTGAATCAGAAAAAAAGTGGGGGGGAGAGAAAAATACACTGACAAGCCACATCCATGACTGATTATTGTAAGGAGATTATTATCATTGATAGCTTCCTTATGATGGGATTGCTCATCTTGTATGTTAGTTCTTGCTGGTCTTTTTAAGGAAACAGACGAACTGTTAAGACAACTTCAGTTTCTAAAGAACTACAGTGATTGCCAGAAAGGAGCTAAAAGGTTTCATTGTTTGAAGACCTTTAAGGAAGTGGGGAAAGACAAAGAAGAAAGAAAGGAGAGTGAGTATCCAGAGGCAGTGCTGCCCTGTCTGGGATCTGGCAAAGGAAGGATGTGCCCCCCACTGTGGGCGCCCATCCAGGCAGATTCCATGGGAGCGGGAGGGCTGCTGGCTCGCCCTTACCCTGCCTTACGTGCTCTTGCTTCTCGCCAGAAGTAGACATTTAGTTCTCTGGGGCATGTTTTTTTTGTTTGTTTCCAGGTTCAGTTCTTGTCCAAGTTACCTTAGTTATTATAATGGCGTATGGAGTTGCCACTAATTTGTAATATTTTGGGATGGTAATACTTTTTCTGAAGTTTTTTTTTAGGTTTGAGATGTGATATTAAAGTAGAAACCCTAAACTGAAGGGAATAGCTGGGCACTTAAAGAACCCCCTGCTGTTCCCGTGCTCGTCCCGTCTCTCTCCTCTCCCTTCATGGTGGGCTTTCTCCAGGGCTAATCTCTCTGTGTGAGGAAGATCAGAAGCCGGGGGTGGGGGGCTTGCCCAGTTCGTGTAACTTGTCTGTGTTATTGTTTTAAGACTTCATCAAATTACTGTGGTCACATGGGTACACGTCCTTCCTAAAACAGAGCCTTACAAAGGGACCTTTTAACGATGGACCATCCTAATGAGATTGCCTCTCCGTCGATAACTCTGATGTTCCGTGACGGCCAGGGAGAACATCCAGTCCACTCTTACCTGAGACGGCTAGTGCAGCGAGGACCAAATAGCGTTGTGGGGCAGAGGAGTGTGGTCAGCGTCCACCTGCCTGTGGACTCTGGTTCCTGCACATTGCCCCTGGTGGGACCGCCCTGCCCCCACATTCCCATACCCGTTCGCAGAAAGGAAGGTTTGGAGCGGGAAGACCCCGAAGGGCACCTTTACTCAGCTCTGTAGAGGTGACCCCCTAAAAAGATGTGGATGAGGAAAAGCTCATACACATGACGTGTGCAGACCAGGACTCCAGTCGGGTGGACGGCAGGCGGACCAGGGCTCGCAGCAGCTCCGCAGGGCCAGGCATCCAGGTCATTTTACCTCAGGGGGACGATTCGTTTCTGTGTTTGGCCTTTGTCTCTCTAAATTTCTCTTGGCTCCCAATCTTCAGGCATCAAGTGTAACTACTCTCCTTTCATTAGGACCTCCGGTCACATCCTTTCGTCTGAAAGCAGCTCTTCCGTTGCCTCGGCTCCAGCATGGAGCCTCATCGCGGGCTTCCTGGCTGGAGCTGGTTTCTAGGGCAGGAGTGCGGCGCATCTCCACACGACACTCCTCCTGCCTCTCAGCCCATTTTTTTTGACCAGCTACATTCTCTCTGCCCATAACAGCGGAAATAACCCGTTTTTCATAAATAATCTCCCACTCCTGTCCTAAAAATGTGAACTTCAAGTCCTTTCTCTTTGTTCTGAAAGGTTTGGTAAGAAGCATTCTTCCTATTTAGCTCATGTCTCTACCCCCCGCCCCCCGTTTTGTTTTGTTTTTTTACAGAAACCACCAGAGTATTTTTCCCCAGTGAGTCTCACAGATTCTTAGGCAATAATTGTCTTGTTGGGGATCTGTGCTTGGCAGCACGTCCACCGAGTAGCTCTGACCCTCTGCTGTGTGTTGGTTTTCTGTGTTACTCTTGCCTGTGGTTTAAGTCTCATGTCATTTTGTTGTTGTTGTGTTAGTGATGTTTCACTACTGCATTCGTCAGGGCTGCGCTGAGCCCAGCCAGATCCACGGATAGCTTTACTGAGCCGGCTCTGTCGGGATTCCCCACATGGACGCCGGGCATGTTGGCCAGTTCCTGCTGGTGGTGTCCTTGTGGGTGTCGGGTGCTGAAGGAGTGGCGTGCGGGTGGAATTACGCATGTGATACATTTCCTTGCTGTGTGCTCGCTAAATAGCAGGGATGCTTTCTCAGGATTTGGGGATAGGTTGTCAGCCATATTGAATTTGGCAAACTGAGCTGCATGCCCTGAAACCCTTTACTGTCCCTTCATTTTCAGGGTCTAATTTATGTCACTTCATCAGGCTTGAGTTACCTCGGGGGAAGGTACTACACCTAATGAGGACGGAAGGTCTTCCCGGGAGGCAGCCATGCCCGGCCAGGTGTCCAGGGAGGGCCTCCCAGGCGGGGCATGCAGGGCAGGGCCCTTCTCTGTTCTGCGTGCACCTTACAAGGAGAGATTTCCTTACCGCTCTCGGGGGAACTGGAGAGGTGGGAAAGGCTTTCTAGTCATCGAGCCTAGGAAGCTGTTTGCCGGATACTGAAGCTCTCCTCACAGCAGGTTGTGCTGGGAAAGGCTGCTCTCAGTTCTCTCTCCAGCTGAGGCCGAGGTTGGCTCACTGACCTCTGGGCACAGCTTCGTTCATGTCTGTGCACATTCAAAAGCTAGAGAACTGAGACGTTTCCACATGAGCATCTTTCCTCGTTCTTGGGGGGGAAGAGAAGTAGCAGCAAAAAGAAAGCGAAGGACCTGAGAAACCGGGTTCCCTGTAACATTGGTTTTCTTTTGTGAGAAGAAGGGAAGGAACAGAGAAGAGAGGGAAAACCCCGCTGCACCCAGCGGCCTCACAGCCCCTTCTTACCCCCACCCTCGGGGTCCCAGACATGCATGTCCCTGGACTCCTTTTCATCATTCCTCCTGTGGCCCTGGGGCCAGGCCGTGAGCAGAACTAAATCTAGCTGATTCCACTGAAGTGAGAGCTGACTGGCACTTTTTACACCAGAGTTTACACACGTTTCACACCTCGTCTCATTAGCCAGCTCCCTGAGAACAAGGGGAAGGAGTCCTCTGCAGGCGCTTTGCCTTTCTCTCCCAACACGTCACTTTGACTTGGCAAGTTCTTGGATCAGTTTGCCCACTGTTGTCCCCTCCGGTGGGTGTCTGTGCCCATGGCATTGCCTGCGTGGGGCAGCAGCCAAAGGCACAGTCACCACCTGCCACGCGCTGGCCGAGCAGGGCCTGTGCACACAGCTCGGCACGCTTCGTGCATCTTGGGATGCCGGCTGCATTTCCATTCTCTCCCTTTAAAATAAAAGTGGCTGTACAGCCATAATTAACTCTCAAATTCACATTGGTGTGCTGTGATCAAACGAAGGTTTGCCTGAATCCTTTCAACTTGTAACCATGGTAATTGAGGGGGTGGCACAGAATGAGTATATAAAAATATGATGACAATTGTTCTGAATGACTGAGTGTCCTCCTGACTGTAATTAGCTGCCTTAGCGAGATGTGGATTGGCATGGTCATAATTAAAAGGGTTTCTGTCCTCCGTGCGATTGAAAGTGGCAGCTCCCCCACCCTGTTCCTTCAGCACGATGCTCCCCAGAACATTGGGAACCGCCGCTCAGTAAACGAAGTAATGACAGGGTGTCTGTGTCCTCTCTGAAGTGAGAGAGAGGGATTTGGAGATATTTGAGCTTCAAAATGGAAGCCTTTGGACATGGTTCCCCATTTGATTCTAAGTCTCTGAAGCCTGCCCCTCGCATCAGTCCCAGCCTGCCCACGGCTGTTAGTCGGAATCCCAACTGAGTCGGCCATCGACAGGCCCTCCAGTCCCTCCGTCCCACTTGCCAGCGTCTGCTGCTGGCCTGACCCCAGCCATTTATTGCTTCACCAGCCCCCTAGGATTTTAAAAATGTTCTTGTTACTTGATACTTCCATTGCCATCTCCATCAGAAAGTCATTATCAAATAGGCATTCACACATGAGCTAAATAGGGTTTTCCTCATTGGATCCCATGACACAGACACAAAACGAACTAACATACATGGGCTTTAAACAGCTGTGAGGCATGAACGGAATCCTGATATGTACGATGTCCCGAAGTTACTGGAGCAAAAGGACATGCATGAGTTCCACCAGGTGTCCCCCGTCGCGCTTGCACAGGTTAACCAAGCACTGTCAGCGGCCTGCGGCCCATCACATGGTCCTGACGCTGCACACAGTCCCCGGCCCAACGCTGCCCACTGTTTGCACCCGAGGCCTCCCCCCGGGCGGGAGCTGCAGGTCACCACCCCGCCTTTCTCTAGCAGCTGCTTCCTTTGGCCTCTCGCTCACCGGCAGAGCCTACTCAGTGTATGATCAAGAGCAAGTCCACACAAAGCCCCTTGTTAAGCTGCGTCATCCCAGCAGGGCGGAGCCTGCCTGGCCAGCACACTAAACAGACCAGCTCTTGCTTTTGTTCACATGTTGCTGCTCATCCTCATACAGCCTTTCCCCCTCTGCACATACCAGAAGGAATCCTAACCCAGTGCTGGTTACTCCAGTTTCATGAAATGCTGAGGTTGGCTGCAACCCAGACCCCAAACACACACACACACACACAGCATTTGGAAAAAAGTTCTGCCTTTGGGGTTTTAAAATTGTTGTTCCCTTCGAAATACCTAAGGTCACATGTATAGTTGGGCTAGATCAGGAAAAGCAATGCCATACAAGGTTTTTACTCATTGCTTCTCCCCTGTGAGATCTAAACATGGCTGTCAACCCCACCCGACACACAGCACGTGTGAAGTCACTGAGATTTTTCAGTGGGATCTTGTCCATCTTCTACAGTTGGGAAGATCGTGGGTTTATGACCCCAAAAAGTATCCCATCCCCCCTCTCATTTCCCAGCTCCTGAAAGATAACTCGCTATTAGATGACAAGAAACTAGAGTAGAGATGCTGCCTTCTAGATGGAAACACTAGCAGAGACATGCAGCCCCCGGAGCCCTGGGGGCCCCTGGCGACAGCAGCATTTCCTGAGCGCGCACTGTGCCGGGGACGGCGTGAGGGCTTCCACTGCCTCCCTGAGCCTCAGGCCCTGCCCTGAGCTGGACCCCTCCATGGAGTCCAGTCCAGTAAACTCTCCCGGTGTGTCCTCCATCTTAGTAGGTGGTATGAGGGAGTGGGCTGCGTGGAGTGCTGCAGTGCTCTGCGTCAGTCCCTGCCTTTGACC